GAGCGCGACCGATTTCATTCTCGGTATCATTTTGCATTTGATAACGGTCATTCAAATTGATATCATTGCTTTTTGTTTGGGAAAGAGAGACACTGGCAGCAGTCCACCCTACCTAACCCATGATTATGGGTTTTGGTCAAATGACCATATAAGGAAGTTGGTATAATTTCTCGTTAGGGTTCAGGATGTTCTTCAGTTAGGAATTTGGTTAAGGTTAGGGTTGGAATCAAATTATAGGGTTAGGGTGACCCGCCGCGCACGAGTGCGCGGCTCCCCCTGTATCGTAGAAACTCTTTAAGTTTAGTGAACTAACGATGGGGGTCACGACGCGCGTGATACAAGGTTTCGAATAGTGATTCAGGGCCATCTAGAGAACGTGTCAAAAGAAGTCACGTGACAGTCCAGTATAGATTGATTAATCATCATTGATCATCCATAATTGTGTTCGAATGAAAAATAAGATTAAGAATGCTGGTGTTATTACTGTTCCCCTTTTGCCCTCATATCAGCCACAGTGCTAGTGCTCCAACATTTTTAATGGAAATCGATTCTTCACATCAACGTTATTCATATTGATCATTACTCCTCTTTTCGTTAGATTGAAGTTTTAACAATTGTTAGAGTTACAGACTGCTCTGAATTGATAATACTAATAGTAATAGCATGCTGTCGAGTGTAGCCGTACCGTAGGAGGACGTCGTCGCTTCGACGCGCATTATCATGCTTGCTTCGCTTAATTGTTAATTGTTAATATTCGCTGACGATATCGTTGCAAAGCTACGTTATGGAAGGGTTGGCATCGTCAATCAAATAGCATTGTTGTACTTATTTTTATTTAATAGCTCAACATAATATTAATGATCAGGCACCCATAAGATGATTTTTCGGGACAATTAGGATTTAAAAGATAAAAGATATTAGGATTTAAGATATTGCCATTTGCAGTTTTACAAGACATTCGTTAATATAATTTACTAATTAGTCTATGTAATAAGCGCTATGAGTTGGCACAGAACTTTTTGTCTCTGATTTTGATAAATTTGGTACCAAAAGTTCCCTCTAAGTGTGAATGATGCAAATTCACCGTGTAGCAAAATAACTTCGAGCTGTATGTGGGCCTCCTGTGCATTGCAAGAATGTACAAAGGACGAAAAATGGGTAATTTCTTGCTTAAAATGCCTATAACTCTTAAAATATTAAATATTATGAAATAATTCTTACAGGATCGTAATGATATTATATTACTATGTCAGACGCATTTTCTGGTACCAAAATTATAATATTTGAAGCACCAAATAATTTTCCTTTAAATCTTAAAATATTAGTACTAAAAGTTTCGTCTCGATGAGCTGATTACGATGTCATAATAATTATGTGATAATAACTGAAAATGTGAAAGTTCAAGGCCAAAAACTAAAAATTTGCGCGAAAAAAGCACGCGCGGCGAACAAGCGCCGTGTACTTGTAGCATTTTTAGCAAAAATTGCTACACGGTGGATTTATTTTATTCACATTTTTAGACAACTTTTGGTACCAAATTTATCGAAATCGGAGAAAAAAACGTTCTGTGCTCGCACTTGGCGCTTATTACACTGACTAAATACTTGTGCTTTATCATTAAGCCTAAAGGTCGTTCACATATTCAATATTACGTAATCACTATTTTAGCAATTTTTACCCCCTCCCCCTCTGTAATCAACATGTTACGTATTACGTAATCATTAAGGAGGTCGAGTCATACTGCTAACTAGGAGTCGAAATTTATAACTCAGGATCATTCACCCAAGCCCGCACTGAACTGAAAAAGAAGGCGATGCGTGCCATGTATGCCATGAAAAGCACGATTAACAAATCCAAAATAACTTCAAACTTACAAACTAGGAAAGGAAAACAAGTCTTAGGAAGACGTACAAAACTATGTGACTTAAAACGGTACAAAACTAAAACATACTATATATATACAGAGTGGGCCAAAAGTCAGTGTGCAAACGTTGGGTCTTATACCTCCGCCGTGTTTTCTATTTGAGGGTTGTTGCTTTGCAGATGGTTTACTGTACCTACTGGTTCGAGGATTCCGTCACCAAATTTTGAAAATTCGAATATTTTAGACCACGCCCATTCAATATTAAAACACTTATATTGTTCTCCCCGAACATGCTAGATGTCTAATTTTTTTAGAGACGGTAGATTATTAAATGTTGCATATGATCTGAAAACATGAGGCAAAACGGATTAGAAATGACAAAGTTATCAAGCATTTTCTGTCTCTCGTTAACAAAATTGACTGGGTGATTATGTGACACCGTGACACGACACCTTAATTGGGCACCTTTAACAATCCCCATAATATTTAACGGGGTCACCTTATCACGTGATTAGGTAAACCAATCACCTGATCACACGTAATGAATTAACTCGTTATGCTTCATATCTCGGTCATCTGAGAAGCTACAGTTCTAATTCTTTCAGGACAAACGTAATTCGAATGGCCAAACACAATTCAATAACGTTTAGCTTGATCCTACTATCCAAACTATCAAATAAATGCAAAAATGAACCTTCATTTGAAAAAAATGAACTCGAATATTTTTCGAGTTGACAAATTCCTCGAACCAGTGGTGATACTAAGTCATACCAGAAAGAAATATTTAAATTGGGCACTCAGTGACTGAGCTATAAAGGCCAACGTATGGGTACTGACTTTTGGCCCACCCTGTATGTATATGGGGCACCTATTTAGTATTTACTTAACGGGTGATACTCGTAAAATATTTGTTCCAATTATTAGGACCGTCGACGAGTCCAACTCGGCGCGCGTCCTGGTAGTGGTAGGTTGTAAACCTACAACTATTTACACACCGACTATGTCCATTATAAAACATATCGCAAAACGAGCAAACCACAGCGATGAAATTGAAACAAACACTGACATCGAAACGAACATACGCATACTCAAGAAAATTAGCCTGCTCAACTCTGAAAAAGTGCACCTTCACTTTCTGAAATGGTCCCTAGGAGTCAATCGGAAAGCCACTAATGCGGGCGACTGGGGTGACTCAGGGCGCTATACATTGATTTACGAATGCATCAATCTCACCCTTATTATATTAAGTATACTCAACGTCTGCATAATCTTAGTGACGGCTCATTAGTTATATTAAAATCGATCAAAACGTATTTCAAAGAGCAAAGAGTTTTGGAACTTGTACATTAACTCTTCTCAGAAACTAGATTTCTACCGCAATCTAAAATCAAGCTTTGGGAAAGATTGTTACCTAGATCACGTGATTAGGTATAACGACAGGGTAAATACCACCAGACTCCGCATAAATGCACACCGACTGGAGGTTGAATTAGGTAGATATTCTAATTCTATTCATATAACAAGACTCCTCTGGCTCTATTCATATAACAAGACTCCTCGTGAATTTCGAATATGCACATGGTGCAACGCCAACATTATCTTTAGCGCTCATATTGTCGAAAATGAAGAACATCTCTTTAAGTTTAACCATTGTGATATTAAGTTTAACGCTGTCGCTAGACGGAACATCCTAAATAAGATTAAAATGGTGGCATCGAAGTCGAGCGACAGCACCCCAAACTCAACCAATAACACCATATTTCCTTATAGTGATATAAACCTAGTCAAGCTCATCTTCGATCATAATGATTTCTTTACATCACTGACTTACGAGTGCCAGATACATCTTTCGAGGATTGTCGCCAGGTATATCACCAAATGTTTCAACAACCGTAAAAAGTTCTTGGAGTCAATAAACGTCGATTCTTGCCGTAACACGTAACCAACGTTCCGCGCCATAAATAAACGTACATCTACAATATTTTTCAACACTAGTACTACTATAACTACTCTTTGAGCACCGTTGCCTACAAAGCTACACTCATCGAGCAAGGTTACCCTATTCCAGTGGCGATTTAACAAAGTTTATCAAATAAAAGATTTAATATAGTCAAATTCCATTTATATTTGTGAACATTATAAGTATTAATATTATCATTATATTTATGGAGAGGGGCGAGACAGTTACTGTTGTAACTGAAGATTTGAAATTAATGTATTTATTGTATTCCTTGTCACTTGTATTCCGCGGCCTGACCCAGGCCATGTTGACGGCAAGGACAAAAGAAAATCGCGATTATTTAGGCCAAAAAATCGCGGCGCTGTGACATAACAAGCAGTGACATAACAAGCAGAACTAGGCAAAATCGCCGCGCGGCGAAAATCTCAAAAATCGCGGCGAATTCGCAGAAATTTCCACGGTTCTTCAAGTGAACAAATTGTGGTTCTGGAACAAATAGTCCTACGGCATATCATCATTTTCGGACAGAATGGGGTTTAAATTACCTGAGGACCCCAGGCTATTATGTTCATTAACATAAAGATTTGGCGGAATGACAGGCGGAATGACAGGCTGAGCGCGGCCCAGTAAGGTTTAAATCGTTTTACATTTTGAAGCTCAGTGGCTTTTTGTGGGCGATTTAGAGGTGGCGGCATGTTGCCAGCATTGTGGCATCCTTTGTATAATTTTTTCGCTATCACTATGTTCATAGAAATATTTCCTTTACGGTTACCCTCATGAGATTTTGTCCATATTGTGTTCGCAAAAGTATTAAGACTACTTTTGTTCATGTTTCATGCTACTCTGATCATTATGAACTGAAAATATTTTTCGGTCTTCTGAAGTCCGGAAGGCTGTGGATGTGATTGGTTCCATATACTTATAACTTTCTAAAGAACGTGATATTTGGCCTTCGGATTTAAAGGAAAATGCGCAAATTTGGTCCTCAGATTTAAAGAAAAATGCACAATTTGTAGTGGAGAATTAACAAAATCGCGATTTGTCGCAGCAAACGTCAAAAATCGGGATTTGTTGCGGAGAATGGGGAAAATCGCGATTCCGCACGTGCCGCGATTCCATTTTGACCTTGGTTGACGGTGATTGATCAATAATATCAATAACAAAAATATTTATCAGGATGATGAAAACATCGTTTATCTCAGTCTTGATTGTGGTCTGCCTTGCAGCGCAAGTAGATACGGCACCTGTGGATCGGAGACAAGTATATACTAGTAGTACTACTAGTAGTTCTTCTTCTCCCGGAAAAAGACTAGCTATTGAAGAACGAGCTACTTCTTCTTCTACTTCTAGTTCTTCTTCTTCTCCCGGAAAAAGACTAGCTATTGAAGAACGAGCTACTTCTACTTCTACTTCTAGTACTTCTTCTCCCGGAAAAAGACTAGCTATTGAAGAACGAGCTACTTCTACTTCTACTTCTAGTACTTCTTCTCCCGGAAAAAGACTAGCTATTGAAGAACGAGCTACTTCTTCTTCTACTTCTAGTTCTTCTTCTTCTCCCGGAAAAAGACTAGCTATTAAAGAATGAGCTACTTCTTCTTTTACTTCTAGTACTTCTTCTCCCGGAAAAAGACTAGCTATTGAAGAACGAGCTACTTCTTCTTTTACTTCTAGTACTTCTTCTCCCGGAAAAAGACTAGCTATTGAAGAACGAGCTACTTCTTCTTCTACTTCTAGTACTTCTTCTTCTCCCGGAAAAAGACTAGCTATTAAAGAATGAGCTACTTCTTCTTTTACTTCTAGTACTTCTTCTCCCGGAAAAAGACTAGCTATTGAAGAACGAGCTACTTCTTCTTCTACTTCTAGTACTTCTTCTCCCGGAAAAAGACTAGCTATTGAAGAACGAGCTACTTCTTCTTCTACTTATAGTTCTTCTTCTCCCGGAAAAAGACTAGCTATTGAAGAACGAGCTACTTCTTCTTTTACTTCTAGTTCTTCTTCTCCCGGAAAAAGACTAGCTATTGAAGAACGAGCTACTTCTTCTTTTACTTCTAGTTCTTCTTCTCCCGGAAAAAGACTAGCTATTGAAGAACGAGCTACTTCTTCTTTTACTTATAGTTCTTCTTCTCCCGGAAAAAGACTAGCTATTGAAGAACGAGCTACTTCTTCTTTTACTTCTAGTTCTTCTTCTCCCGGAAAAAGACTAGCTATTGAAGAACGAGCTACTTCTTCTTCTACTTATAGTTCTTCTTCTCCCGGAAAAAGACTAGCTATTGAAGAACGAGCTACTTCTTCTTTTACTTCTAGTTCTTCTTCTCCCGGAAAAAGACTAGTTATTAAAGAATGAGCTACTTCTTCTTTTACTTCTAGTACTTCTTCTCCTTGAAAAAGACTAGCTATTGAAGAACGAGATATAACTTTTTCTACTTATAGTTCTTCTTCTCCTTGAAAAAGACTAGCTATTGAAGAACGAGATATAACTTTTTCTACTACTTCTTCTTCTACTACTTCTTCTTCTTATAGAATCTAATCCCTGGCCCGTCGGGGGCACAGGCTACTGAAACACCCAGCACTACTAGTAGTTCTTTTAGTAACTGGTGGAAGTCTGGTCTTGGCGATCAAAAGAACTTAGAAGAATGTTAGATAAAAAATAAGTTTACTTTGGTTTAATAACTTCTCATACATGAACCAAGTCCATTATATCAAATCTATCACGTTTTTCTGATCATATTTTAGTCGATGCACGATGAAATGTTTCATTGTATTGGATTTTATCCCCATTACAGACTTATATCAAAAGTACGAAATTATATTAAATGCCTTACAATAGCATGTTTATATAGCATGTTTATATAGTACATATCAACAAATATTTCAATTTGAAGGATTTTTTACTTGTCTCTATTTGAAACCCAATGGCATTGAATACAAATAAATAAATTCAAATCTGATTGCACAAAGGGAGTGTGGAGTTAGCTAAGTTTACATTAATGTCCTAAATCGTCTCAAGTTACATTTGAGCAATACATATACTGAGTCGTCATGGAAACAGCAAATACCATTTTTCTACCGTAATTGGATAAGGTTCACGTTTACTAACTCCATATTAAAATGTTGCCACGAGTGTCAGTGGATTGATAACAGAAGAATCATTTTGTTGGTTGAGTGTTTGTTGAGTGTTGGTTGAGTGTTGGTTGAGTGTTGGTTGAGTGTTGGTTGAGTGTTTGTTGAGTGTTATAATATATGCAGTTATATGTGACATGATTTGCTTCTGTGTGTTAACCCCATACCTTGTCCTTGTTTTTACATTCGATTGCTCTCTGTGTTGAACAACTGAAAGCATTGGTCGCCTTTCTATGTTGGTAGCTCAATGTTTCTTGTTTTCTGTTGAGGTGGGATTTTGGAAATAGTAATTTTCCTTCAGTTTCCTTTAGTTTCCACTTTCCTTCAGTATCTTTCCGTTTCCTTGAAATGGTTCACCTGTTTACTATTGCTATTGTCTAAACTCTAAACCATGTAATATTACATATAAGAAGGTTGTGTAATTCGTTTTTAACAGCTCTAAAATAATCATAAAATTATTTATCAAGTAGTTTAGTTTGTTCTGAGAACATGGTTAAAATTAGCCATTGTGATCAGTATATTTTGTGCTTAGTTACTGCCCCTAGTTACTACTTGCTGCATGTTCTACAACCGGAAAAACAATCGGTATCACTGTTTTAAAGCTTAACTTTAACACGTGAAATAATTAATTTGTGGACATGATATCACGAAATAAACTAATGATGGGACAATTGGTAATCAATAAGCATATTTAAGATTTCCGCTACAATTTATAAATATTTTAGTCCTCACAACTATATCACGTGATCGACTACTAAACCTACTAAATGGTTGTGCAACACTGGTGGTTTCAGAGTAGCCGGTTCTAATACTGGACATTTCATCACCAGTTTAGTTGTTTAAAGTCAAACAGGAAGCGAGGTAAGGTCACATGTGAGTCTTTTCTGTTCAACCAGGATCATCTTTACGAGTCACGCGACTTATCTCGTGCTCCCAATAGTTAGTTCAGAAAAACATAAACGACCACCAATTACACCAGCAACGAATAATATTATCTTCCCGTGTATTTACAGATCCATGTTGCTAAATAGAGGCAGCGGATTTACACAAGCTCGAACACAATATGCAGTATGACATGCAACACCAGCATCATCACGCGTCAAATACATCCTCGTCTTGAGAAACACATATTTATTTTAGTTTTACATCTGTTTTAAACCGCAGTGTTCATCGTATCTAGTCAGGGCCCCCAATAGCACGTTCTTACTTGTACTGTTGCTATAAATGATAAGTTATTGTCGCTGTAATTGTCGCTGTTGTTGTTGCTGTTATTGTCGCTATTGTTATCTAGATATTATCAGCGCACTTTCTAATGTCGGCGCGCTTGTTATCCAGCTGTGATAGCACATCATCAGCTTTTTACGGCCCAGATTGCAGTACAGATTATTAACAGACAACAGAGGTGCGTATGTGAGAAAATTCAGCTAATACTTATAAATAGCGGCTGTTCCGTTCTCTGCTGCGGATTATTGCTCCTCCCACACAACACTTGATAACTTGAGACTCAATACTCGTTTGATTTTTGACAATTTTAATTTTATATGAGCAACTTTGACGAACGTACAACCAAGATTGGGTCCATGTGGCATCAGATTGGTTCAGTCTCCAAACAAAACATTGCAATTTTGTGGTTGTTAGTTTATAAATCTGGTTAGGAGCAAACGGGCAGTGTTGTCGGTTAGCTGTTAAACAGTTTCTGGTTCGTCACATTGAGTACACAATCTGGCATATCTTTAATATCTCCAACTTGCCTTAACGTCAAATTATTAGTCTTTATCCCAAAAATGTGTAGTAGAAAACTATGATAGTATCATCCTGCCCCTCCAGCCGACTTAGCATGATACCATTCTCCAGAGAGCGCACCATGCCCCCATTCTCCAGACAGCGCACCATGCCCCCAGTCTCTATCAAGGTACAAATGTTGCTCACAATGTATTTCAGTCTCTATCAAGGTACCCTTCAAATGTTACTCACAATTTTGAATCCTGTGATTAAGTGATCATTTTGTGCTAACTAACTACAGTATTGAGTATCATTCCATTCGTTTTAAGTTGTTAACAAAGCTCTGATTTGACAGCTTTGATTTGATATGCTCCATTTTAGGAGTACAGGAAGTTAAAAGAGCAGGAGGATAAAGGTAGAAACTCAGCACTCTCCGGTTTTGATGTTAGGAAGATAAAAACAGCCCCTCCCGCCAGAAAATCCTCCTCACGTAAATCCTCATTCATATTTCAGAGGTAAGGATTATGAAATACGGGCTTTGTTGTGTATACTGTTAGCGATGATCCGTTTTAAATTTACAAATTTAGAATTTAATATGCATTTTAACATTTTGAACTGAAGTATTTGCGTAATGATTATAGTTGGCGCAATCGGTTTTTAAAATCTGATTTTATTAAGAAAATTCAGTTTCGAATGCAAATGGAATCGCATACTTTTAGTCACGGGAAATACTCTCACGGATGCAACCGAAGTAACCCTACTGCTTTCATTCATACAATAGTCTAACTACTGTGGTCCACCTAACCACTGTGGTCCACCTAACCACTGTGGTCCACTTAACCACTGTGGTCCACTTAACGGGTTAACCACTGTGGTCCTCCTAACCACTGTGATCCACTTAACCACTGTAATCTAACTAAAAAAATCTCTGTTTCAATCCCCAGACAACCCTCCAAACCGGAAGTTAGACCGTTCTCAGAGTCGAGGAAGAGTCAGAGTGTACCGACTAGTCCGGGACCTAAGACTAGCCCAGAGCCACGAACAACCAAGCGGACCAGGGACAAACCTCAGACTGACTACTTCAAGGACAGATCGTACATGTCTGACGTGTACTCTTGGGCTAGGAATGGGGAGGTAATATTGTGCTCAACTACCCCGTTCCCGTCCCCCAATATTGTGCTCAACTGTCCCGTTCCCGTCCCCTAATATTGTGCTCTGCTACCCCGTTCCCGTCCCCCAATATTGTGCTCAACTACCCCGTTCCCGTCCCCTAATATTGAGCTCAGCTACCCCGTTCCCGTCCCCCAATATTGTGCTCAACTACCCCGTTCCCGTCCCCTAATATTGTGCTCAACTACCCCGTTCCCGTCCCATAATATTGTGCTCAACTACCCCGTTCCCGTCCCCTAATATTGTGCTCAACTACCCCATTCCCATCCCCTAATATTGTGCTCAACTACCCCGTTCCCGTCCCCTAATATTGTGCTCAACTACCCCGTTCCCGTCCCCTAATATTGTGCTCAACTACCCCGTTCCCGTCCCCTAATATTGTGCTCAACTACCCCGTTCCCGTCCCCTAATATTGTACTCAACTACCCCGTTCCCGTCCCCTAATATTGTGCTCAGCTACCCCGTTCCCGTCCCCTAAATTTGGGCTCAACTACCCCGTTCCCGTCCCCTAATATTGTGCTCAGCTACCCCGTTTCCGTCCCCTAAATTTGGGCTCAACTACCCCGTTCCCGTCCCCTAATATTGTGCTCAGCTACCCCGTTCCCGTCCCCTAAATTTGGGCTCAACTACCCCGTTCCCGTCCCCCAATATTGTGCTCAGCTACCCCGTTCCCGTCCCCTAATATTGTGCTCAACTACCCCGTTCCCGTCCCCTAATATTGTGCTCAACTACCCCCTTCCCGTCCCCTAATATTGTACTTAACTACCCCGTTCCCGTCCCCTAATATTGTGCACCACCCACTCTCCTCCCACTTTGTTGTCATCCACGATTTTATTTGCAATTATGACCAGTCAAGCTTGATATGATGACAATTTTTATTCTTTGGCGAAGTTAAACTGAAATATACTACTACTACCAGGAGAAAAGTAGCGAGCAGATAAAGGGAATGGAACTGACGGAAACGATAATGAACTACAAACCAGAGCGCCCCAAAAAGGGCGTGTACCAGAAATCAGAGAACGACGACCCCCTGAGGGCAGGTCTGGGGTATGAGGGCTACATGGACTGTTTGTTGAGGGGGCGGAGACACCGCCTCACTAGAAAGCAGTGGGTTAGTTGCTGTTTATTACTCTTTGGTTCTCTCTTGTAAATAACTGAGTCAGTATAAGTGTTTCAAGTATTTCAATTCTTTTTTATTTGTTTCGCCTTTGCTTTACTTTTAACTTATCATTATTCAACGTCATAGTTAAAGTTGATCTTTATAATTTTAACCAGCATCGTCAATTTTGAAGCACATTAACCACATTAGCTTGAGTTGAGTGAATAATAATTCATGATCACATAGTAAATAATGCTGATCCTACGTGCTTTGGTCACAGTGTGGTTTTTACAGTAAATGGACATATGTATTCGTCACTTTCAACAGTTTTGTTGCGAATATATAATATGTCCACTTACTTTACATTAGCTTAAGAGTTGAGTTAAAACTTATTCAGTGAACCTTTTTAAGAATGGCGCCATGATCACACAGTAAATACTGCTGATAGTGATACTGCGCGCTTTGGTCAAAGTGTGGTTTTTAAATTAACATCTCAATGATATGCTAGATTACACTATCTTATCATGGAGCAGCTATTCCCGCAGGGTATTACATCAGATCTAAAGAACGAGCAGCCAACACTGGTTCCGGTTAACAGCATGGTACGAGAATAACCACGTGCGCGCGCGACGAGAATAACCACGTCACTGTAACGCTGGCATTCCTAGAGACTATAGTTGGTAACTATGCTAGAGACTACTAACATCTTAGTTCTTCGTTCCGAGAATATGTACAATGCAAGCAGATCATTAGATTTTGAGACAGAATCTTATTTGGTGAACATGAAATGCAACAACGAACTTGGAGGATTTTTCTTTTTACATCATTTAAGAAAGGACGTTTTGAGTGTTGACTGATCTATATTCTATAACTCCAGAGAAAACGCCTGAACACGATTCAGAAGCATTGTTGTATAATCCTGTTCAGAAGCACCAAGTGTCCTTCAAAAAGAATGGTGTTAATTAATTTTAAATCAGATTTTACGAATTAATCTAATGTTTAAATGAAAATTTGATTATATTGTTCAGAATTTTGAAAGGAGTCTGAACAAAACGCACTCAGTTTGAAGATTTCCGACTTTCTATTTAGTATTTATATTGAAACTGTGCTATTTGTTTGGTTTTGCAATGATTAAATCAGCAGTTTTACTTTTACTGGTGGGTGGTATCTGTTCTCTGAGCCATGAAACTGTTAAAGTGAGGATCAGCCAACATGCTGTGGACTACAGTACGTTAGTAGTAGTATTGTGTGTTAGTACACAGTGTGTTAGTACAGTACGTGTATACTTACACGTGGCATTGATACTGTGCTCTGATTGGCTAATCACTGTCCCATGTCAGAGCCTACGTGCTCCAATCTCCAACGTCCCTTCAAAATACACTTAATACACCATGAAATGAATAATTTCTACAATAAATTACCGAACAAGAATTGTGAGAATTGTTTTTAAAAGTTGAAATTATCAGTTAACGAGGAGATAAGAAACGTTATCCCCACCATCGAGGCAGAACTACAGAACTTCCCTTTACCTCAGCTGTCAGGACAGGATTACAGACTGTACAAGTTCGTCTAACTTTATTAAGGGTTGCAGTGTGGGTTATAGATATAGCTGACATATCAGTTTTTCATTATATTTTTAAATTTTATGCCATGATCACTAATAGGTGTCTTCACGCTTTAAGACATGAGGTAAACAAAACATGCCAGAAGTCTCAAAATCACACATTACAATTGTTTTGAGCCGTCTGACTGAATAAGCAGATAAAGAGCTTTAAATTAAATAATAAAATGTAAGAGGTACTAAGTGACGTACTTAGAGCCAGGTAAGTCTAAGGTTGAAACTGACAAATTCGGGTTTGAATGTTATACGTTTTAGTTTTCAGTTTTCAAACTATCCTTACCGTTACACCTTCTTATAAGAATCCAACATTTTCAGTTTGAAGCTCCAATCCTCAAAGATCGGAAGTTCCACCATTAAGTTCCAGGACAACGGGCTGAGGATTAAAATACAGAACAATCACTTCGTTCTCGGAGGAAACTTCTGGATCCAGAAAATGTTACAAGATTTCAGAATTTTACGTTTCATTACACCTGCTGTGTCGTTAGTCGCAGTAAAACCTAGCTAGAGAATACTGCGGGTCATTGGTCAATGAGATTACTAATATTTATATAGCACACCCCCAGTCCCCACTACTAGCGCCCCTAATACATCTAACAGCACACTCCCTGATACGAATACATCTTTTTAGTTTTAAAAACTAAGTAAACCTACGTATTTCAGAATTGGAATCCAGGGCAATGTAAAGATCAGTGCAGCCAATTTCAATGTCGACACAACCATCGATTACAGTTAGTACTTTCTGAGGAACTTAAAAAGTAAGGTTTCACGTGGTTGTGGGTTTAACATTATCCTAAAACATGCGTATATTGGTGGTCCTACTGTAATACATATTATCCATTACAGACTATAACAACAGAAACAACCGCTTGTCCCTCAAAGATTGTAGGATTAACATTGGAAGACTGGATATCGACCTCTACAAGTCAGTACATTAAAGAAGCAGTTTAACAATTAAATTAACTGCTACATCTGACATTTTATCTGACTGATCTTGCCAAAAAGTACAGGAAACCACAAATTCCCATCGACTAATATTGTTACGAATTTCAGTCCTTTCCTGAATTTCATTCTGAATGTGCTCGGAGGAGCGATTCGTGACCAAGCAAGCAATATGATCTGCAATGCTGTGAAGAACAGTGCAATACCCGCAGTCAACAAAGCTTTTTCTAATCTCCCAGGTTTCCGCGCAATTGTCCAGTTCAACTTCGTATTATCAATTCTAATACTATAATTTACATTTGCACACCACTGCTTCGTGCTCATTGATTGAATTGAAAAAGATCCCAATTCCGAAGAGCTTATTTCTCAGATGATTACGATATCGGAAGCGTGGCTAAAATCAAGTTTACACCTGGCGAAGGAAGCGTTACCGCGACCCAACTCGTCTCATCCTACTTTGTAAGTAGTTTAAGTGTTTAAGCAAGTTATTGTTAAACAGATTACAAATTCTGACTGAAGTATTGAACAAGCAGAGCTAGGTAACCTCCCAGTTTAATTTAATTTGAACAGACCCTCTGATTAGGCAGCAGTGCAGCCAGTGACTGGTACAGTAGACTGGAAGTTCAAAGAGCAGGCCCTCCCCTCTGGTGGGTACACGGGACAGTGTTGCTTCTGGGCTTCCGAGTTCCTCCTCAACACCGCTCTCGGCACTCTCATGCCTCCTGGCAAAATCCAGACTACACTCGACGCTGCTCAAATGGTAACCACCTCTTTTATTTCAGTTAAATTTGGTTAGCATTTAACAACTTGAATAGACTCTGTCTGAGTTGCGCGCAGAAACAGACACTGTCTGTTTACTTAGCGACAGTTGCTAAGCCACCTGCATTCTAAAACAGTTGGTCTCCAAGACGTCTGGAGTCTGACATGTTATCTCCACCGCAGGGAGGGTTACCCGCAGCTCTGGAGGTTAAGATAGCGAACAGTGCTGCTCCGGTAGTGTCTCTGAACCCGGAGAAAGTGTACATCTCCACGGCAGTGAACGTCACCGTGTACGGAGAGGAGGAGGGGAGTAGGATCAACTTGGGGAGGTACTCCACAGATTTCCACCTCCACAGTGACACCAACATCTCTTACGAGAGTCTCAGGGATCTTGTTAAACAGCAGATCAACTACCAGCTACCCGTGTTTGAGAAACGAGGTGACAGTTCGAGATGGCTAGATAATAAATAATTAAAAAGCATGAAATGTCTATTACATAAGAAAAATGCACGATAGTTCAAAATTCGAGCCAACATTCAACAGTTTTTACTAACTGACTAAATAAAAATACCAGTTAGCGATTAAAATAAAGGTATCTTACTCCTTCTATCACAACATTAAACCACAGAAGCGTGTATTGATAACGACAGCAACTGTGCCTGGTGGGCAGGTCAGGGGGAATGTAAAGCTAACCCTAACTACATGTTGGCAAACTGCAAGAAATCCTGTAAAGTCTGCACTGACGACAATTCAAGTTTGTCATTTCTCTTGATATACGTATCGTGTGGGGTATGGATCATGAAACAGCGTTATGTGATTTCTAAACTTAGTTTTAAGGACCTCGTGGTTAGGTTGGAGGTTAAAACTGGACTATAAACTAATTGTAGTTTCTTCCCTGTCTCTCTTTCTCCACACCTACCATCCGTTGTCACGCGAACAAATATTATGATGTCGACTGCAGATAAAAATCAAACATGATCCTTAAAGAAAAACCGACAATATGGCGCTGCCCCGTTATTCAGAATATAGACGTGACTTACACTGAGCAAGTCATGTTTTTTATCATGATACAGATTAACCAATCAGCTTATAGTCTAAGAATCTGTGTTATGTGTAAAACAAACTTGTGCTACCTCCCACTGTCACCACATAATCTCATAACCTTGTTTCAGTGAAAAAAGAGAAGTCCCCAGTCGAGTATCTTCTGAACGACGTGCTGCCCTCCAGCGAATATGTACAGTTCTATGATGCACATTCGGACATGCTTCAAGTGAGAATATAGTTTCAAATAGTTACCAAATAGTTAGGTACCAAATAGATACCAACCAGTTGCCAAACAATTCCCAAACAGTTACAATCAGTTACCAAACAGTTACCAACCAGTTACCAAACAGTTACCAAACAGTCATTAACCAGTTGCCAAACTGTCATTAAACAGTTACCAAACAGCTTCCAAAAAGTCCGAAATTTCGTCTTATTATCTTCTGCTAAAATATCTAGATGGTGCACCTATAAACTGCTCACCTATACGACTTTTTGTAGCTTTTGTTTCACTTTCCAGTTTGACGATCTAATCAGTCAATTAGGCGATATAAATAGTGGCAGCTGTTTTACCTGTTAAGTTCAACATTGTTCTAAAAGTGCAAGGTCAGTGAAATGTTTTGAATAAATTGTGATGCGTAATCCTTAACAGGGAGCCTCTAGAACGTGTGGAAAGTTCCGACCTACGCAGAAGACACGCCAAATGATACACGACAAGATAAGAAATCTCCTCCGATCTCAGAGAGCATGATTGTTCAACTAGATCGTTTGAAAATTAGATATTTTTCCGAGAAAACCTGAGAGCAATAAGAGCCGTGTTTTAATGTTTATTAATCAACCGTTTGAAGAAAAGTGGATGAATTTGCCCTGATGGGGGCACGTGGGTTATCAGGACTCGTTTAGGGCAGAGTTAATAAGCCAGGACACGCAGGTCTTGCTTGCTCGTCCAGTAACTGGGTCACGTGATATATGAACACCTGCGTGCAAATCACGCTGCGCGTCAGTTCACGTTAGTGTTGCCATGGTGCTGCTGCTCTGTTTAAACTGCCACGTTACGCAGACTCATGAGTCACTAAAACAAGTCTAGTTCGAAAGTTTCTGATTGGTATTGCTCATTTGCACGGGAGGTGAGTCGCTTGTTGGCGCTAATTGGGTGGGTCAGACGTTGTGGCATGAGGCTAACTGGGCCTGATAACCGCCCCAGGCTTCAGAGCAACCAGCGATCAGACGACAGGCGTCTAGCGCCTTTATAATGAGCCTGCTCCCCACCTTACTTATAGACAAGGCATCTTGACAGTCAGCCCTTACATAATTCCTTTTCTCTCAGTCTGATCTTTTTGTGAGTTGTTAACTTCGTCTTTTAAACAAAATATTTTTTACAAAACTATTTTGCTGTTTGACAGTTTTTTTTCTGCCCATCATTCGACGACAGATCTTTATCTAGTTTAGAAGATAGCCTTCTCCGACTGATATTGGTATGGAGCTGATTCACATAAATGTTATTGATTATCATTCGAAGCTCTCTGTGGTTTTCCCACAGGATTTCTTGTCTGCATGGTTTTTCTCCTCGCATTGGCAGACGGTAGTACACATACTGTTGTAAGTACAGCCAAGAATAAGGGCCGATTTTAGATCACGTGATGCTGGTTAAGATGTAGTTACCTAGCACTACGGACCGGATGTGCTGTATCAGAGGGCTGCGGTAAGGTAATCGGGTCTCCAGGTCCCCACTTAAAGAACCGAGCCCGATTTCGTTTCCAGATGGCCAATTAAAAGGCACTGCTTCTAGATTGGACCAATAGGAAGGCAGATGAATCCACGTGAAACTACTGAGTGTTTCTTCCCTGTCCGTGACAGATGCATGTAACGGATTAAGAGAGGAGTAACTGTGGCATTTTTCTGTGTGACAAATCTGTTTTACTGCTACAGTTCTACCATGTGTAATGTGCAGCTCGTGCTACTTTTCGAAGCAATTTGCGATCGCTTCTTCGAAACATTTCGTAGGAAACTAAATCTAATTGCGGATTTTCAAAAATTCGTGGTTATTTGGATGAAACAGCTGATTTTCTAAATTTTAATCCCAGGGAAATCTTTGTGAGACTTACAAAACTGGCAGGAATTCAGCAAACCAGAAACGTGAGCAAATTAAAGTTCATGATTCTTTGATCGCAATCTCACAATCGGCTTAATTATAAGTGAAGTGAACCCACGAAATACCACCACTTTGAGGGTTAGAGCTTAGTTCTACTGAACATTATCAAGCACAAAAAGGGCGCTAAAAATTACAAGTTTGTTTCTGATTAAAATCTGAGATGAAAGTTTTTGGTAAAAGCCTCCCATTTGGAACATGTCACACAACCATGCTAATCTGTCAAGGGCCGGAAACGTGCTAATTCAGGATTAGATCAAACGACATGCAAGTTAGGAAAATGTAGTTTCTAAATTTAAAATGCAAGTCTCAATTACACTTTGTGAAAATGATTACCTCAACGTGATGGGTCATTTTTATAAGCTCTGATGTAAGCTTTATTGCTGTGCACAGGTCAGTAGTCTTTACCAAATCCGACCATCAAAACATGGTTTTATCTTGATTTGGTACTGCATTTTTATCTCGCTTGCATGTGATTTGTTTTACCAATTTGACTGGGTCGTATCGCAGTTTGAGCTAGACAGAATCGCATCAAGCTAATAAGCATCAGGCTAGCAAAATAAGAGGATAGAACGTGACTGCAATGCTGAACACATGATGTCTATTCCTAGACGCATTGGAGAGATCAGCCTCCAATTGGAGAGATCAGCCTCCAATTGGAGAGATCAGCCTCCAATTGGAGAAGTCAGCTCTCCAATTGGAGAAGTCAGCTCTCCAACTCGAGACAAGATTATTTTTCAGCCCCACAACCCAACCACTTCGAACTAAAACAAGCTAACTACACGTGCATTAGACTCAACACACTAGACGCACGCACGCGAGAGCGGGTCCGCGTCGAGCTGCAGCGGTCTGAGGTTGAGATGGCTGGCGGGGAAGCAGTCAAACTTTAACCAATCCCCGTCCTAGTTCCGGGGAAGTAAAACCAATGTTGTCTAATTCAGCAGACCACGCTCAATACCTGCTCACATGACATGCACACTTTTTAACGAGATCGAATTAAAGTTTGTTCTGGAAAGTGGTGGTCAACTGTTGACCCACACAATCTCAGAATCTCCATAGCTCCTGCCACATTACAGCTGCTGTTAGCGGGCTATCACACATTATCCTTGCTTTTACATGTTTGTGGGCGTGGGTATCAGCATTTAAGCTCTCGGAAATTGAATATTACCAGGGATAAACTATTTCACTGCCCCTCACTAGGTATATAATATTAGTGGCGACTTCAGTGATCGTGTCTGTGTTTGAAAATCGTGTTAGCTTGCATCTATTTTAGAAGCGCAACACACCCTGCATCTTACGTCACTACTGGCCCCCTTTTAAAAGGTGTGATAAGGTTAGTTCCTTACAGCGACACCCTCACTTCAGTCCTGATCTACAGACCCCAGCCCAGGAAGCGATTTCAGTAGGATAATGAGGATTTGAATGTTTGTGTTTACACAGGAGGGTCGCAGCAGCAGGCGTCACGTGTCGACTAGCTCCAGAGAGCCGTATCCAGCAATGCCTGGTGTCACGTGACACCGCCACGTGCCTGCCACCCGACACAGCTACTTGTGAAACTAATACTACATACATCCAATTTACTGCATACATAACACTCAGGTCTCAACGGAACACAGTTGAAACTTTGGATAAACTTGTTCGTTGATCTGGGTTGGAGAAAGAGGGCTTGATTCGTGGTACCCGGTGGTTTCCAGACGCCCCAACGTGGTAGGACGTGGTGGGTCACGTGACAGGCTCTCTCAGCTGACGGTCACGTGACCTGCCATGAGACAGCTCATAACACCGAGTCTGCGATCCTGAATTCGATTTTTGTTACGAATTTCCTGAGTTTATTGGCCTCGAATTAGGAATATTTGCTTGTGTCAAGTGCAGAGAGGATTGCTTGGACACGTGCAGCTATCTGTTGCTCTTGTTGTTGTTGTTTGTTGTGAGCTGATACAGCAGTGTACTCGTACTCTCGGGCAGGTTGTTAACTCGTCTCATTGTGTCAGCAAACTATCATCAATCCTTTATACTCGTAACATTTGTGTACCACTTTGCGGTTTACAAGCGATCTGTGAATTGACATCTTTCTTCAGTCTCCCAGGGATTGTCATTCGTCAACTTGAACGATATAACTAGGATAAATAACTACTGTCCTCACTGCTGTGATGAGCAGCGCTACTTTGTCAGGAAGTCTCAGTGGTCATGACTTGATCACGGTGTTTGGGTATCAATGAAATAATACAACTGGTAATTCACAGGGCGTGATTAGTACAAACATACCATCATACATACGAAAGTGATACCGTGCAACGTGCTACAGCATTACTCAAGCATAATGAAAGTAATAATTTCCGTAACACTGACTAATGTTTGACTAATGTCGTCATTACGATATCCTGTGTTAAACTGTCATTTCTTTTCACGCTAAGTAAATTTTCTTTTGTTTCGAAAATTAGAGGTATTACACTTGTCCGTGAACTTAGTGTTTAATTATTCGTGCTTTATAAGTTAATTTCTGATGAGACTCCCGTACCTCGTACTCATATAAATGATTGCGGTTTTCAGCGGCCCTACTTGAATGTTCAAGTACGTTAGGTGCGCACCGCAAACTACCAATTACATCTATAGGATAGGTTGACTTGGTACATGTACCTTTCCTTTGATCGAGTATCGAGTAGCATACTGCTCGTAGCGTGTATTATGTAGTGATATTAGTGTTTAAAACTGAGCTATAATGCTAACAATAGTGTGAGAAATGAATGTTCCTGTAGTTATTTCGACATGTCATTCAGCTTCCATTGCTGTACAGTTCGCACGGTACTTTTGCAAATTCCCACATATTGACCCTAAGGTACAGTTCGCACGGTACTTTTGCAAGTTCCGTCATATTGACCCTAAGGTACAGTTCGCACGGTACTTTTGCAAGTTCCCACATATTGACCCTAAGGTACAGTTCGCACGGTACTTTTGCAAGTTCTCTCATATTGACCCTAAGGTACAGTTCGCACGGTACTTTTGCAAATTCCCTCATATTGACCCTAAGATACAGTTCGCACGGTACTTTTGCAAATTCCCACATATTGACCCTAAGGTACAGTTCGCACGGTACTTTTGCAAATTCCCTCATATTGACCCTAAGGTACAGTTCGCACGGTACTTTTGCAAGTTCCCTCATATTGACCCTAAGGTACAATTCGCACGGTACTTTTGCAAGTTCCCTCATATTGACCCTAAGGTACAGTTTGCACGGTACTTTTGCAGGTTCCCTCATAGTGACCCTAAGGTACAGTTCGCACGGTACTTTTGCAGGTTCCGTCATATTGACCCTAAGGTACAGTTTGCACGGTACTTTTGCAGGTTCCCTCATATTGACCCTAAGGTACAGTTCGCACGGTACTTTTGCAGGTTCCGTCATATTGATCCTAAGATACAGTTCGCACGGTACTTTTGCAAGTTCCCTCATATTGACGCTAAGGTACAGTTCGCACGGTACTTTTGCAGGTTCCCTCATATTGACCTAAGGTACAGTTCGCACGGTACTTTTGCAAGTTCCCTCATATTGACCCTAAGATACAGTTCGCACGGTACTTTTGCAAGTTCCCTCATATTGACCCTAAGGTACAGTTCGCACGGTACTTTTACAAGTTCCCTCATATTGACCCTAAGGTACAGATCGCACGGTACTTTTGCAAGTTCCCTCATATTGACCCTAAGGTACAGTTCGCACGGTCCTTTTGCAGGTTCCCTCATATTGACCATAAGGTACAGTTCGCACGGTATTTTTGCAAATTCCCTCATATTGACGCTAAGGTACAGTTCGCACGGTACTTTTGCAAGTTCTCTCATATTGACCCTAAGGTACAGTTCGCACGGTACTTTTGCAGGTTCCCTCATATTGACCCTAAGGTACAGTTCGCACGGTCCTTTTGCAGGTTCCCTCATATTGACCCTAAGGTACAGTTCGCACGGTACTTTTACAAGTTCCCTCATATTGACCCTAAGGTACAGATCGCACGGTACTTTTGCAAGTTCCCTCATATTGACCCTAAGGTACAGTTCGCACGGTCCTTTTGCAGGTTCCCTCATATTGACCATAAGGTACAGTTCGCACGGTATTTTTGCAAATTCCCTCATATTGACGCTAAGGTACAGTTCGCACGGTACTTTTGCAAGTTCTCTCATATTGACCCTAAGGTACAGTTCGCACGGTACTTTTGCAGGTTCCCTCATATTGACCCTAAGGTACAGTTCGCACGGTCCTTTTGCAGGTTCCCTCATATTGACCATAAGGTACAGTTCGCACAGTATTTTTGCAAATTCCCTCATATTGACCCTAATTAGGTACAGTTCGCACGGTACTTTTGCAAGTTCTCTCATATTGACCCTAAGGTACAGTTCGCACGGTACTTTTGCAAGTTCCCTCATATTGACCCTAAGGTACAGTTCGCGCGGTACTTTTGCAAGTTCTCTCATATTGACCCTAAGGTACAGTTCGCACGGTACTTTTGCAAGTTCCCTCATATTGACCCTAAGGCAACACCTTTTAAAGCTCCCTTCGTGTATCAATTTTACTGGTACGTTGTAGCTTTCCCGTTTATACTATTGTTAATTTCGTAGGATTGAGCACATTTTCTTAGGATTGAGCACACTTTCTATTTTATTAGAAGTGAAATAATATCGTTATGTTTATTGTTTAGGAAATCAAACTCAGACTGATCGACTGTTTTGGAAAATTACTTCTCGCCTACTTTTAAACTTCGTCTTTTGTTTGATTATGCAGATATCAACGTTAATCCAGGCTCTTTATTCAATAAGTAGGACATGTACACTATCATAACTAAAATACACTCAATTATTAAAGACTATGAAGCTATATGAGGCTGATGTAGTTACTTTTTGTTTAAACTTGATTTGTTTTGTGAAGGAGTGGATCTACTCCGACTCCAGAAATTAAATGGCTTTTTTAATGCTTAAAAAGCAATTTACAAGAGTCTATTATGCATCATCGCGATTGTATTTGTGATTCAAAGGGCGATGTTTTAAAGTCTAAATAGATTTCAAAAAAGTCTAAAAATGATCCGGAAGAGCTCGGACAGTGTCTAAAATTTGAAACCTGCTCATTTCCTTTTCTGTGTAGAGTCTGGAGGTTTATAATTAACTAAAAATTGGAAAAAACATTAGTACAAGGTAAAGTTTTGAAAGTTGCGAGGTCTGCATTTTTAGTTTCACACAGTCGCGAGTGGGCCGGGGGGGCCGTGGGTGGGCCGGGGGCACATACGTGGGGGGGGGGGGGGGGCACATACGAAGCTAAAACTTGGTAGTGGTATCTTATCGGCTCACATTTTTTGAACATGATACATTGCCTTCCATTTTCCGGCCATAGCTCTTTCAATATTTGAGAATCCTGCAAAAATTTGCAAAATGCAGATTTTTAGCAACTAGCTAATCCAAGACAAATTAAGAACCGGAAAAAATTAAATTCCTGACTTCTCTTATGCTTGGTGACAATATCATGAACTTGGGCATCAAACGATTTTGACCAAATTAAAGTTCAGCTTCATTATGTCAAATTCGTTCTATACTAAGTTTTAGCTGAAATTTTGGATAGAAATAGCTGAAATTTTAGATAGGCAAAATTATTCCATCCCTTAACGGCAAACCTACTTAATATAGCATACAAGGTAGTTTGCAAACCTACTTAATATAGCATACAAGGTAGTTTGCAAACCTACTTAATATACCATACAAGGTAGTTTGAATTTAGGTTCAAAATGTTCTGTCAAGCTGCTATGATAATAATTAATTTATAAAGATAATTATGCTAATGTAGGTACTAGGTACATGCATATTGTTTCAGAAAAATACCTTCAGCAAGGAAGTATATTCAATATAACTGAAAGTTGAAGAGAATTATATGAAGGACAATTAGATATCATTATTTATCATCAACATAACATGAGCATATGCGGCTCCCTATTTTTACATAGTATTATATCTAATTGATATTATCCTAACTTTAGCGCTGCATCATGGTCATATATGGACTAGCTGTCGTGTATTTTCCTTCTAAGGCTGGTAACTACCGGCTGCAAGGCTGCAATTAGGCTTTCCATCTCGTAAAACGGGGCCGGTTAATTACTGGTTTAGTCAAATGAAAAATTGAAAGAAATTTATCTCCAGGATCGATTCCCTTTTCTACATGAATGTGATTTCTTGGATTTGGTGTACAAAGTGTTCATTACTGTTATTACTGAAAGCATAATTTCCGTTATTCCCTGCTACTTTATTTTATCAGATGAACAAGTTATTTTAATCTACTGAATACTTGAGATTTCAATTACATCTCAGTTCGTGCAATTAGGAAACTAATTAGTATTCCGCACAGCTGGCATCTTTTTCAATAAATTGTACTAAAATTAAGCTCACTCAGTTTTTATTGATTTTATTAAATCTTTTTTCCGGCGAACTTTTTAACCTGTTTTATAAATTTGTTTCATCCTCGTATTTATACCCCGCAATCTTAAATTTCCCAAACTACTTCAAACCTTCTGTACCAAAGAAAAAGTATTGCCTTGTTCAGAATAATAATTAATTCGCTGTCTTGGACAGAATAATAATTAACTTGCTGCTTGACTGCCTAATTATCTGATTAAAACTTGCATTTTCTTACCAATACAATGTTCATTGATACAAACAGCCCAATATATCGGCACTCTTTTCGTTACGTTCACTTCTGCTAACTGTCATTACGAATTTGTAATTTTTTGCTATTTTTGCAACCACAAGCGTGGTTTTGTTCCCTTTATTGATTTAGACTGCACACAATAGCATTATAACTGATATCGAGTATTATATTATGTATAAGTATTATATTATATAACGAGAAAGCAGCAACTAAAACTAACCATTACCCTCTACTTAGCGATATTCTGGCTGGACCAAAGACCTCACCCCATTAACCATCCTCAAATCTCCTCCCTTCCTCTTTCCCACCTGTTTACTCCGCAAGACTCCGCAGCCCTGGTTGTAGCCCGTAGCAACACGTGCGCGCTGAGGCATTGTGCCGCCGCCGCCGTGCCAGACGTCCTCGAGCCTGACCACAACCCCTCCATGTTCCATGTTAGTTTAACAAGGGTAGTGGGTAAACGGGGGCGGGAATTCGGTCTAAAACTGGACATATATATTTGAGCTGTAGACGTATATCTCATGCACTTGTTGGAGACATCAATTAGGGACGTCTGCGTAAACAGGGGATCACGTTGATGGAATTATAAAGTAGGGATCTTTAGTGTCTTAGACAGAACAGGACCTTCAAAAAGACAAAATTTGACAGCTGTCTAGTCGGCACGTCACATTTAGCCGGATTCTTAAAAAACAAGATTTCGGACCAGTTGCAGTCCTTAACAAAAGTGTGTTTTTTTTTCCTCTAAAAATGCATTATTTTTCAGCTGCTGCACTATGGATTGATGCCACGAGTTGTTCAGGATCAGTCCCACAAGTTTGAAACAGACGAATTGTTTAGAAAACTGAGCGAGGACACGGAGGTATGTTCAGGATCCATCAAGTTTATACCAAAAAAAAATACTCTAGATATTATAGAAGGAGTTTTCTTGTCAAATTAGTAAGGATAAGATAACCATTAACCTTACTAAAGTACTAAGACTGCAATCTATAAGTATAGAAGACTTTATTGACTGTACCTTTCCTCAGATAAGAGTGACGTCGTATCGGGACAAGTCTCCGGAGGAACGGTCACAGCGGTTCATCAACGACGTAAAAGAAGGGCATACTTGTGTGGTAAGTTCTCTCCAAATTAACGGGGTGGGGGACGGGGAGGGGTGTGTATAGCTAGAAACTTATCCCATCATATTGACGGGGTGGGGGACGGGGAGGGGTGTGTAGCTAGAAACTTATCCCATCATATTGTTCACATTTCAATTCAAAGAACCTGTGATCAGTAAATATGGAAGTTTTCTTAGCGTTTGGTGTGAAATTTTCTCTAACCATCAAGTCTGAAATATTATGACCTTGAAAATTCTGCACATGGGGAGGCTAAGACTTGGAAAAAATTGTATACATTTTTACATTTGCCAGCCTCCATAATTTGAAATGGGAGAGTTAACTACGTTCATAACTATTAACTATAGTAGTATTATAGTATTGTGTCAGTGTGTATAGTGGTATCATGTGTAAAACATGTCGCCCAACTTGTCAAACTTGTTTAACATAGAAGTTAATTCAACACTTAATTCACAGGCGTTTCTTAACACCGGAGTAAACCTAATGCTGCAGTTTTACCCTCCATCGGGTCCCACAGACAAAGTCACCAAGGAATATGTAGACTTCGACAAGGATCCCTCAAAGGTGAGATTGTAAGCTTGATACAAAACAGGGTTTAGGCGGCTTTTAAAAAGTAGAGATCTTGCGACAGTGGAGACTATGACTGTGTGTCCCAAAAAAGACAGCGTCTATCTTATATCTATCTTTAGCAGTTAGCGCATGTAAATTACGTCACAGTTGAGTGAATCCCATGTTTAAACAATAAACCCCCTTTCAGGTGGTCCTCAAAAGTCGGTTTATAATGAACGGAGTTTGTGTACAAATGAAGGGTTGGATCGACCTGAAGCGTCTGGATGGAGTAGCTCGGTTAGAATTCGACTACGATTTAGCGGATGTGAGTTTTCAGCACTTACATATAAACTTTTTCAACAGTTGAAATTAACAGTTGCAAGTTACATATAAACCTTTTCAACAGTTGAAATTAGCAGTTGCAACTTACATATAGACCGAAATTAGCAGTTGCAACTTACACTTAAACCCTTTCAACAGTTGAAATTAGCAGTTGCAAGTTACATATAAACCTTTTCAACAGTTGAAATTAGCAGTTGCAACTTACATATAGACCGAAATTAGCAGTTGCAACTTACATATAAACCCTTTCAACAGTTGAAATTAGCAGTTGCAACTTACATATAAACCCTTTCAACAGTTGAAATTAGCAGTTGCAACTTACATATAAACCCTTTCAACAGTTGAAATTAGCAGTTGCAACTTACATATAAACCCTTTCAGCAGTTGAAATTAGCAGTTGCAACTTACATATAAACCCTTTCAACAGTTGAAATTAGCAGTTGCAACTTACATATAAACCCTTTCAGCAGTTGAAATTAGCAGTTGCAACTTACATATAAACCCTTTCAACAGTTGAAATTAGCAACCTGGAGGTGTGTATTATAGGAGAAGTGGGTACAAATGGAAGTGGAGAAACTGTGTCAACTTAAATTTAGTATATTTCAGCAAGAAGACAGAGTAGTGAGAACCAGACTTAGAGAATACGAAGAGAGACAGATGAAAAACGAGTTCTCAATCGCAGTGAGTCTCTTTTACTGGACTTGTATTCCTCGTTAACCTAATCATTGAGCAGCATTTCTTTAAAATCAATTTGATGGATCTTTTTATGGTTCGTTGTATCACCAGTTTCTAATATGGACGATGAAGACAACAAGATAGTATCTGTATTCTGTTGACATCGGTTATCCCAGGTTACTATTAAAAAGTTAATAGCAACTATTGTTATCCCCATCTGAGTGATGTGATTCTAACCTTATCTCAGTAATATCTCTAGGGATCCCAGCTGATGCCAATACAAAGCAACCAGCTCTCCTCAAGCACGGGCCCTGAGGGGTCCAGGATCCACCACGCCCACAGATACCACCCTTACTAGTCTACCAGACCCACGTGGTTCTATATCTCCATATGTGGGCATCACGTGGCTCTACATCTACCAGACAACAGTACCCTAGTACTCATCATGACAAACAGACTCCAGCCCTGCTGAGGTTGTGTCCAGCACGACTAAAGATCAGCTAAGATTAAGGACTCGACCGCTGGGTGATATTGCTCAGAATGTAATCATTAGGGTTATTAGTCCATGACAATGATGGTTTACGGATCCAAAGACAGTTACAGAATATTTGACTCATTTGTTCCTTCCTACTTTCTCAGAAATCGAGAGAGTCCGTTTTATCTGCATTCTCCTGATATTCTATGTATTTGTGTAACTGTGTAAATTATAGTTGCGATTCAACTGATTAAATATTTGTGTTTTACTCGTCTTGCTTCAATCTTCATTAATTTGAGTCATTTCTCGAGCTGAACGCTCACATACAAGACAGAAAACTACCAAATTATTCTACAAAAGGTTATTTAAGCAAGGCATGCACCTTGGTCAAAGCGTGTTTTCTTACAATTACAATCAACCATTTTATGAAACTTGGAAATCTGTCAAAGCACACTTAGGAAACATCTAACATCACAAAAATCAGTTGGGGCAAATTTCGGTCAACCTTATTTGATACACACCTGGAAAAAACTTGGGGCAAGTCTGAAAATTGTAGTTGAGAGGATTTGTCTGTGTTTCCTAACTGTTTCTATCATATTTGGTATATGGTGACCCAGATGTTACCACGTTAACTCAATATCATTGATTACAAAAAATTATATTGTCGAGATATTGTTAAGGGAGCCTAACTCAGTATAATATCAAATCTTGATCAGAAAGCCATCCTGTGCACTTTAAACATATTTTTAGGCTCCAGCTGAAAGAAAACAAAAGCCAGCTTATATGTAATGGAACTAACTAATGGAGGTTTTCATGAACAATTAAAAATGTTTGTATTGAAACGTCTTCTACATATTATAAATTTAGAATCAAATTTAACAGCCACTATACATCTATGGGTGGCCCAGAGTAAATGACTACCCTGTATAGTGTATAGTGTATACTGAACGATTAGGCAAGGTGCTACTGCTAGGATATGGGAAACACTCAACTTCTCCGAACATTTTGCGGTTCTTATAAATAAATCCTTAGAAATAAGGATATCAACTGCTATGCCTCTTTCAAACTATTTACAAGAAATAATTGGTATTCTAGGTATTATAATGGATGATATAATGGATAAATGCAATTCTTATAACTGATGAGACATGATTCTAGGTAACTCGACTTATAGGCTGTATACTGTGCATTTTGTACTCTTCTAAAAATTAAACCAATGTTCTGTAAGTTGACCAGATCTTTGTTGACACTATAATACTAGAACTAAAAGTAGAATACCTGTAAACTACCGTTGGCAATTTATTACGGAAGAAGACAAAGAAGACTTCAAATAACACTTACCCCTCTGTTTAATCTTGTAAGTTGGTTGCACGGTCACCATGGTAACTATCAGCTGGAGAAACAATAGACCGGGCGTGTGAGAGAGGCAGCCGTTAACAAATAATAATTAGCAAGTAATATTAATATTAACGATCTATAGACATATATAAGGGAAACTTAACGAATAGTTAGATACTGATGTCTACCGAAAACTTGGGCGAGAAATGAACTAGAAGAATATTTTAGAATATTCGTCTTCAGCTGAGTGCTGACCAGTATTACTTCAAGGTATTGGGTTCTTCAGTTGGTCGTGATATTGCAGAATTTAGCCCCAAATCTAGCGCCCGAATAGCGCCCACCGCATGATAGTAGCGGGGTCCCGGGTCATTTGGACTGTTCTGCGTTTGTATTGCTTTATATTGGCCGACTTGCATACTATATTATCTTTCAAAAAGACAAGACTGCGATACTAAAGAATTTAAGTGACGACAAAATGCTACTACGTATTATAAATAGCCAGGAGTTACCAGTGACTTCCAAAATTGTGAAGAGATATCAATTCACACGTGCGCGCGGCGTCAGTGTGATTGCCGCTCGAATCGAATCAAACGCAACAAGCGCGCAAACGAGTAGCTGTATTTTATGCATCGCGCCATCCGGAAAGTCAAATAAATGCTGTGTGTGGTAACTATGGCAACGTTTCTGTAATTAACCACTTAGCTCCCCCGGGGTCTGATTACACGCATATATTATTAGAGTCCAGTAAATCTCTGCATCTCTTTCATTTTAGATATACAACAGATTAGTAGATCAGTAACAACCAGTAACCAAGGAGACAACAGTCCAGTGAACGGACAATGGACATTCACGACAGAGGCCAGAGCATTTAAATCTTTGACTGCTAATCGCCGTATGATACGTTCTCGGATTTAATTTGGGAAAGTTAATCAGTTAATTGGTCAAGATAGCTTGAGCGATTAAGCCTAACTCCAGAAGATATGACTCAAACTGGGGTTTCCGGCGCCTTATTATATTATAATGGGAGATTGCATTAGTCGTTGACTTCTCAACCAAATAGATCTTGCTACTTGGTCTAATATAATTTCATGATGTTGAGAGAAATTGTGTAAACGAAGCTGGAAGAACAGTCTACAACTCCTTCAATATTTTATAGACTAGAAACACTGTAATTCTTCTGGAACATTCTCCAGACAGCCCCCCCCCCCCCCCCCCCCCCAGACAGTCCCCTCACTGGATGAGCCCCGACCAGCAGAAAGTCACAACTCTATATTCGGCTGGTACAACCAGAGAGGTGGTCCGCAGATGGCGTGAAGACCGTGAAGATGCATGCTTCTTAACTATTCGGTAGGTATTTTGTTACAAAGGTGGACCCGAATGTAATGGGAGGGTTTCAGACGATCCATAAACTTTTAATTTATTGATAAGATACTTATCACAACACTACAAATATATTACATTTATTGAGGACGTTACAGCAGGAATTGATTTAATGTAACCCAAGGAGTCCTAACTCTCCTCGCGTCCTAAGATGGCGTTTCTCTTGTCTCATTTATGTCCATCGTCAATAGATCAGACAAAAGTAGGCCGTAAATAGATCCGATATATTTCAGTTATCAGAAATAGACGACCTGATAATACTTTACAGGGAGGACGCTAACAACGGAGCTAGTTCCTTGCTCCTTCATAATAACGAGTTGGATGTCAGCTACAGAGTACGAGTGAAAACATACAAAATACCTAGAACACTCCTCAACTAATATCATATCACTGGTATACATTAGAACTTTAAAATAGCTCATAAAATTCCACACTATACACATTAGAACAATATCAAGAGGCAGCAGTTAACAATTCATAGGTATTATAATAGTCTGGCTCTATGATATGAACGACTTGTTTTCATTATAATAATGAAAAGCTCGAATACAGTTTGTCAATGAGAGGTCAGATCATAGCGCTTTGACAAAACCTTACAATAATAATATTCTTGTATGAGGGCGGAATGAAAGGGATTCCCGGAAATTGACAACCAGTGGTCAGGTTCCGTCACTTGAGAATGAAATTTTTCAGTATATAACGCTATATATGTGGAAAACTTAGGCTTACTGTATATTACATAGCTATATGTTTATAATGTGTTATCAGCTTACTCTGCTCTTACATTTCAACCAGAATTCCAAATATCCAGAATTCCTTATATAATAAGGTCTAACTAAGATAAACCATTCTCGCCATATAAAATACAGGTATTACCTTAGTAATACATGTATTAATGCTCACCTACCAGTGTTCACCTACCAATATGAGGTATTGTAGGACTTGAGAACCTAGAGTAAGGTGTTGATTTAACATTACTCTACAGTTGGTAGAGATGACAAGCAAGCTTGTAATGCCTAGCAAGCACGAAGCTTTTAATTCCCCAGCGAACATGAAATGTAATGCACTAGAAACTGTTCAATTCGCTCTAAATGCATAATCGCCGTTGAGGTGTGACACATTTTACTTCTTACCTAGAACATTACTACTGTTACTACTATTTCTGCTACTATTTCTACTACTACTTCTACTACTACTATTTCTACTACTACTATTACTACTATATACTATATTACTAACAGGGACACAGAAAAAGGTCGGGATTCTCATCACTGGACAACAAAAATTGTCCAATAAACCAATAAGTATATTCTGTGTGAATTCTGTGTGAATCTGAACAATATTCTGGATCAAATAGCAGAAAAATAATGACAATTTATTTGTCAATAATGACAATTTATTTGTTTAAATAAATAACAGAAATAATCCGCCAGAAACTGAAAAACATCTGAATTGTGGGTAACCAGCCCTTCACAAATTTAAAAATTTGTAAATTTAACAAAAAATATGCGTTTGTTTCAAGTCCAGTGTTGAAGAAATAATAAATATTAATATATTACAGATTAAAATAGCACATTTAACGCGATCACACTGAGATCTCAGCAGTTTCAGCTTTCCTAGAATACATTAGAAATGTTCTTGCGATCGTAGGCAGCTTTGCGAGGATCAGCCGAGGTGGGGGCGTCTTGTTCTCCGAATATGTTGCTGGCCATGTTCCTCTTCTTGTGTCCTTGTGCTACGTTCTGGTTCTCACAATACTTGGCGTCTTGTTCAGCGGCTCCGTCTGATTCCACATACACTGAAAATAAATAGGTTTTAATATTATGACCCAGTGAAACTATCGGACTACTATGAGCGCTATGTAAATTGTAAGGCAATAATAAATAACACCACTCCAAGATGACACACTCAATTTGATACGTAAACTCTTTAGGATAGTTGAATCATATAACATAAACTATTGTAAATTGCGGTTTGAAGTGCTCGGGCCTCGGTGACTACTGGATATATGAGATTAAGGTTGCTTCTATAATTTAGTTGTGAAGCGTGAGCTCATAGTAAAGTATGTGAGCGAGTCACGTACATACCGTCAACACGCATGTTATGTGAGTTGACGGTATGTTCCTTAAAACTCTAGGAACTTTAGGAACCACCACTAGAATATCCAGGCTTTCATGTGTTTCAGACTATGGTCGTAACTTTTAAAAGTATGTATGTGAGTTGACGGTATGAGTTGAGATATGTAAGAAGTTCGCATGGTGCGTCAAACAAAGATGTAGTATATTGGAGTGCAAATATGTGTAGAGTTGAGATGCTGTGAAGAAATATATATCAACAAGTGTCTGTGTTGGAGAAACTGTGGGTAAAATCATGTGTAATAATGAGTGATATTTAAGTGAGGTTACATGTGAGTGAGAACAATCTTCACATAACACGAAACTTACTAATCTCACCATTAGCATTTGTTGTTGGATGGTATGATTCACTCTCGTAGGGTTGCATTTCACCTGCCTGTAATATACAGCTGTCATCAGATGTTTGGTAACGCGCGCACGTGGGCGACACATCATCAGATGGTAAAGTTATTTTAAACAACTCTCCTAATTCAATACATTTCATCCAGTTCCTCCCATTATTTGATCATGCAGGTAAACAGGGTACACAATGGTGGGGGGTGAGCGTAGTAAGTCACCCATTGTTACTTGCAAGGTGTTACAGGTTACTTCTACCAACACCACATTGTGCCACATAACATCGTGTTTACATTGATGATTGAATAGTGAATACAGTTAGTTAATTAATTAATTATTTATTTAATTAATTAATTAGTATTTCTCTGACCTTGAAGACTAAAGAGTCTGATTGGTTAACATATCCGCCCAATCTGCCGTGAGTATCCACTGCGTTATTGTCGGTGAGGAAGGGAGCGAGAGATGGAGCTGCTCTGTCGTAATTCTTGGCGCTAGGGTCTCCCTCTTCACTGAATATATCGCTCACTGCTTGCTGCTGCAGACGTCTTCCTGGCTTCTGAATATCTGGCTGTAAATGATACGTCTCCTAATACTATAATATATAGTATAGTACTATGTTTACAGTACACTACAATGTAGGGTATATCCAATGGATCCTCAGCTACTCCCTAGACAAGGTGACACTGGGATTCGAACCCTGGACCTTCTGTGCAGAAGGCGCAAGCTCTAACCACTAGGCCACACGGATTCCAAGATAAAGTTTGATGACAGGTTTGGTAGGTCAGCTTAAGGTTGCCGTGGAATGTGATTATATTATCATAGAAGCCTTATATTCAATAATAATTACACATTTAATGATAATCACATGATTATGAAATTAAATGAGAAGAATGTGCTTGTATAGCACCCATGCGATATATGGACAGCAACTGACACAATTAAAAGTGCTACCAACTATTTCAGAGCGATAAAATACAAACAAGGTGGGATAAATAGTGAGGAAGGGAGAAAGATCCACCTAGAGATCAAAGCTCTATCATCAAGCCTAAGTGGTATAACTTACTAGATACTTTAGTGAAGCGAACCCAGGTTGATACTTGTCTCTTAATCAATATGACCGGAGGGGAAACGGATCCCCACACGTTTCGAAAAACTACCAACTTGCCCGAAGATCTACACAAGGTCCTGTCACAATAATAACATTAATTTGAAATTGACGTTCAAATTTTCTTAACATCGATATTTCAAATTCCATAATATTATAATTTAAATTACACTACTCCTAAAGTAGATTTAACTTTGTAGGAAAATGTTAATGTTTTAGTCAAAGTTTCCCTAAATCAAAACTAATCCCTTCTTTGAAAATAGGGCAAACATCTACATTCTATACATGTGTATTTTCTTTGTAATATAAAGTATTGAATTCCACCAAAGTCAGTGACACTTGGGATAAGCTGCTAGAAAAATAAACTGTATGCATTCGAATAAACGGTGGTGGCAGCAAATTAAATTAATAACTAGTAGTGTGTGAGTTACCTGTTGTGTTCCGTCTAGAATGTTGCTAGCTTGGGATCTTGCAGCGTACTCTTTGCGTTGTGAAGCTTGGGTTGCCATTCCTGAGAACAATACATGAAGTAACCCCGATTGAGTTATTATATATCACTGTAAGTGTACAGTTTTGTTCCGGTAAAACAGTCTTATTTGCAATATTATAAGTAAAAATATCATAAGTAATCTCCATTTAAATCTATAACTCCGACATTAAAAACAAACTCTAGATAGATTAAGTCGTTCAGGCTATCAAAATAGAAACTAATTCAGACTAGCGATGTAACTAGAGAATTTCTCAGCAGAGAAAACATACAAAAGTAATATTCCGTGAGCTTTAAACTAAAGGACACGAATAACGTCAGCTATGTTTTATATCATGCAGCGAGACTTAGTTGTCAGCTCTTGTAGCGAGGCAATGACATGCATATTAAACTACACGCAATGAAAGTACATGACAACTCAAATTTTAACAATCTTTCGAGAGTTATATTATCCAGTAATATTACAAGCAAGCTTTTCGCTGAGTAATTGTACGTGAAATTCGGCAGTTTCGTAGTACCAAGCTAGAATTGGTAGAACTATAATACAACCTTAAAATATACATCTAAGCAATGAGGAACTAGAAGTTAAAGATAAGGCAAAACCGGTTCAATTAGTAAATTGTGGTTTATGTTTTATCGAATATCGCCTCTTAAACCCCATATTGATTCAAAACCCTTTTGAATCCTATGATTATCTTCAGACAAACAAAGTATAGGGTTAATATAGTGAGGCTCATAAAGCAATACGGCCATATCGCGCAGTTCACGAGCGAGAATGAAACTAAACCAAACGGTGCAATCGGGACAAACCAAGCACCAGGAAATGCGCGCAAACCACAAAGTTTCCAGAGTTCTGCACGTGCGCTGAACCTAAGGTTTAGTACGTCATTTTATTCACTAGAAAGAACGCTCATCGTTAGCCGATGAGCTAAAGTAATATGACAAGATCGATGTCCTTCTGTATTAGAAAACAGTTTGCTTCCAGAGAACTTTGTATGTTTGTGATAATTAATTTCGGAAGCTGGACGAAGTTATACAATCCGAAATCAAGTGTTCAATGTGCAATATTGCTGCATAAAGTCGTAGAATTTACTAACTAAGTAAATAAGTAAGATCAGAACGGACATGGTATTAGTATAGTGACCATCCACTCATCTATGCTTAAAAGTTAAAACGACCGTCTATGACTGACACAGTCTCTCTTCCATTAGAAATTAAAAACACAAAGAGGCTTTAACTAGAACGCTAAGTAAAAGCTACATCAAATAGTACAAAAAAGTGGAGTTGTCTAACTTCCAATGTGCATGTGAGAAAGAAAATACGGTTAATCCTTGATTTTGGCGTCCATATGAAAATTGCGAGCGCTCGATTCCAAATGACTTAAATTCAAATATCAAATCTGCCAGGCGCGCGGCGTCTCATCGCTCATGGATTGCTCTAGTGTATGTAATCAAATGTCAAAGCCTTCGTCATATCATCAGATCAGAGTTACTGTGCAGCGCTCAGCCTGTCTTCCGCCTAATATTTATTCGGAGATTCTTTATATTGATTATGAACATAAATATAATAACATGGGGTCCCCAGGCAAGATCAAAGGCATCGTCAATCAAACTGTCACTCCATTATGATATATTTTAAATCATATTATATTACAAATACAAGCAATAAGTTTGGCTTAGCTGTATACAGTATAGGTAACCATATTGCTGATTTTTTACATGAAGATACAATTTAACGTTAATTTCGCTTTTTTATTGTTATAATTTATATGACGCACATAACACTTTATATAATTTCCATTTGCATTGCATTGTATGTTTATAACCTATCAGGACTTACCTGGGGACCTCAGGCTATTATGTTTATAAACAATAATTGATTCGGCGGAATGACAGGCTGAGCGCCGCCCAGTAAACCAGGACGCGCACCGAGTTTGAAACAAATATTTTACGAGTATCACCCGTTAATATTTCCACAAATAAATAAGATCAGCACATGATCCAATTTAATATTTGATACGTATGACATATCACGTATGATTTTATGTTGTCCATTGTTACTGGACTAGCACGTCGTAAATATAACAGTGAGGTAAAATTAACGTTAAAATAATGGCGTTATTTTAGAAAAGATTTGGAGGACTTCGCCGCTTCGACGCGCCGCGCGAACTAGTTCACCTAACCATGTGCTTTCGCGCCACTTCGGGCGCGCTTGTTTCACCACCGTGAGGCGGGCGCGCGCTACTGCAAGCGCAAGGGCTCTGGATAGAGCAACGAACTAGCATTCTTGCTTTGCATCGTTGATGCGCACGAGGGCCACGATACAACTTAGTGAAACGACAATGGGGGTCACGACGTGATGCAAAGAAGTCCGGCTTCAAATTTATCACAGCTTTGTTCAATCCCACCTCAATTTTTTTAACGGGTGATACTCGTAAAATATTTGTTCCATATATACCGTCGACGAGTCCAACTCGGCGCGCGTCCTGGTAGGTTGTAAACCTACAATAATTTTTGTTCCCTTGTTCATTGTTTTATGTTTGGGTTTCGCAGCCAAGTGATGTCTAACGTTAACGGGTGATACTCGTAAAATATCTGTTCCATAATATACAGGACCATCGACGAGTCCAACTCGGTGCGCGTCCTGGTAAGTTGTAAACCTAAAATGTCTAACGGTAATGGGTAAGTGCCGTTTAATTTTGTACGTGATACCCATGTATCTTAATTTATAACATTTGGTTGGGATTGATATTTTTGATGCGGTAAGACGGATGTTACTCCTCTAAATTTCTTCAAAGTAGCGCGCGCCGCTTTCTTCTCGATGGCAAGTGCTACGAAGTAGCGCGCCGGGCCAGACCATGAGCAATGGCAATAAATGATAAAAGGTATCCAATAGGGAATTCGAATATTTATAACTTATAACGTTGTCGTCATTGTCAAATAAAATCCATATTTTTTACAGTACAGAGCTAAAAGTAAATGGTGAAGAGGCCTGGGGTGACATGTGATCCGGAGGAATGTTACCAAAACTTGGGGGGTAAAATCTAATAATAGCCAAATTAGCAGCCTGGGTACAGTTGGTAAAATTAGGTATCACTACCGCCCAGCCTGTCGTGGTGGAATGTGGTGGAATGTGGTGCCAATCTCTCTCTCTCTCTCTCTCTCTCTCTCTCTCTCTCTCTCTCTCTCTCTCTCTCTCTCTCTCTCTCTCTCTCTCTCTCTCTCTCTCTCTCTCTCTCTCTCTCTCTCTCTCTCTCTCTCTCTCTCTCTCTCTCTCTCTCTCTCTCTCTCTCTCTCTCTCTCTCTCTCTCTCTCTCTCTCTCTCTCTCTCTCTCTCTCTCTCTCTCTCTCTCTCTCTCTCTCTCTCTCTCTCTCTCTCTCTCTCTCTCTCTCTCTCTCTCTCTCTCTCTCGCGTGCACGCCGGCGATCAAAAGCCAAAGGGGTTACAGCGTGTGTCAACAAAATACCTGTCACATGTCATATCTCATGGTTTAACGGACAAGTACCTGTATTTCCAAAATATCTGGGTGTGGCAAGTGTGTCATTCACTGGGTGATTTCCTGCATTACTGACATAATCATTATCATATTACAGGGTGTACCACAGAAAGTGTGACTTTTTTTTGAGAAATGGTACTGGGTACACAATTTTATGAAGGAGCAATTGCCAACACTTTATCATTATGCGGTTTACATGGGGACCTCAGGCTATTATGTTTATGTTCATAATCATATATAGAGATTCGGCGGAATGACAGGCTGAGCGCAGCCCAGTAATATGCGCTACATATTAGCGACAAGAGAAACGCCATTGTTGGACGTGAGGAGAGTGAGGACTCCTCAAACTAGATTAAATCAATTCCTTCTGTAACGTTCTCAATAAATGTAATATCCACGAACTCTCAGTGCAAGTGTTGTAAATAACCTACATTATATTATGAAGAATGTTAGATAAAAATGACTGTGATCTATAATACTATTACTAGTCGATTCTTAGACGTAGAGTCTAGTCTCAGTCTAGTCTCATTTTAGTTGCCATCTAATCTATTACTGTCCAGCTGGCTTGTGATCAGGGCACGTCCTGAATTTGAGACCGGGATCATCCAACCTTATTGAGTCATTAACATATTATAATTGATAATAATGAAGACAATAATTGGGGCACGTTTGACTGTTACCCAGTCATGACCCAATTATCAGACCTCATTAGGCCTAGGGTTCAGATCACTGTCAGTACCTTTACTAATTGCCTCACGAATTATCAATTCATGTCATATAAATAGCTCAAGAACAGTGATAAATTATCCTCGTCTCAATTACGTCTAGTTTTACGTTATCTATTGTTTTTCCCAACATGAGTTCTGTAGAGTCCACTGAATACCACCATTCTCTCCACGACCCTGCTCCTCGAAGTGTTGCGAAGAGGCGCGCAAGTAGGCTGAAGCGTACAAGTAAACTGAACTGTGTAAGGAGACTGTTGCAGTCACACAGTTTGAATTCCACTAAAACAACCCCAGCAGCAGCTGCAGCGTCTCCAAAAGTTAAGGAGTCTCCTGCTAACGACAAAAACTCTTCTGATGTCGTCATTCCTTCCACCTCCTCTTCTGCTGGTTCATCGGAATGGGAGTTTCTTGGCCGTGGGATAAAGCCCCTTTCTCATGACGATGCACGCGCCTTGAAAAAGAAGATACTTGAGTTAAGAAAGATAGGGGTTTTTGTTTATGTTAGTAACCCTAGAATTGTAACTGAAACTGGCGATTTTTTCCACTTGTTCGAAAACGTGAAAAAGTAAACGTGAAAACGTAAACGTGAAAACGTAAACGTGAAAACGTAAACGTGAAAACGTAAACGTGAAAACGTAAACGTGAAAACGTAAACGTGAAAACGTAAACACGATAATCAATGACACTCCTGTTCATGATCGAATAACTCATAACTATTAGCTCTAACTGATTGTCTTCCCATTCATGTTATTAGTCGGGTGTCTTCAAGTGAAATCCAATGACAACAAGAATTGATGCTATGAAGGGCGAAAATGAGAGATTATCTTATATCAACTTGACAGGGGTATTATTAGTTCATATCATAACCGAACACAGTTTTTATATTATTATACTGTATTCGCCTCTGTGATAGCTACATATTGTTTTTACCAAAGAGAATGCTCGTTTTAATATCTACTTTACTCAGATACTCAATTCTAATATCCACGAACTCGCAGAAAAGTAAATAAACTACATTATATTACGAAGACTGTTAGAAATAGAATTAGATAGAAAATAGAAATAGCTGCCGATAAAGTCTGGTCAAATATAAGATGTGTGTAACTAGATTTTAGCGACAGCTATTTCTATTTTCTATACTTTCATAACACGAAGAAATATGGACAGAACTGAACAAGAACAAAAACCACACTCAAAGACTGAGGAATCAGGAGGACTCTGTATTCCAGGAACCAACTATTTAGCTATCATCGCTCAATAATCGGTTTGGTATCGACGCTACATACTTTTATTTTCCGACTATAAAGCTGACTTAAGAAACCAGGGAATCAATTTTACCTTCCTAACACATAACATTGATACATGTTTCGTATCCCACTTCGGCGGCGCGCGCTTCGCGCGCGAAAAGTGGCATGCAACGTATGTCAATCCTAACATTAAATCGTTGATTTTATTTATATATCACTTTATTTTACCTTACTCGGGATTATTATAGCGGGTTAATGTATGACTGGGAAAATTAATGACCGGGGAAAATATGGCGGACTTTCCCAAAACCCGCCAAATTATCCCGGTCATGTATTTACCGGTGGCCGACTTTTCAAGTTTTTTTTCAGAGGTCAACAAATTTTCAACCGAAATTTCTGTTTTTGTTACTTGTTAAAGAAGTTATTTCAATTTACAGTTACTGGTATTACTCAGAAATAGAAAAAAAGACACGTCTATTTAAAGGAAAATAAATCTATATCAATAATAAGTCAAATCTTCATTAAAGCGTATTCTCATACTCATTATCGCTAATGTCCCCTCCATTATCATTATTGATATCCCCCTGCTGCTGACCGTCAAATTCGAAGTTGTATTGTTGTCTTAACAAGACTTTTTGTCCGCTAATGGGGCTACTGCTCTGAAGGTCAGCCGGAGCTTAATTTCCTGCCCACCGCTTGGTATTCTGGAACGAAATTATGGTAGCAACCGCCAATAAAGTTACAGCCCTCCATCCACTGCTTCAAAAGTCTTCTCTAGCACATATGAGACTTCAGGTAAAATATGATGATCACCACCCCCTTGGAACCCCATAATCTGAGTCGGCGGGTTTTTTATGACTGGTAAAATTTTTGACCGGGAAAAATATGGCGGAATCTTCCAAAACCCACCACTTTATCCCGGTTATAATAATCCCGAGTAAGGTATTTTATTTATTTTTCAAAACATTCCAGTACATTGTGCAGAAAGTTGGAGATTAAAAAATTTGGAAGCATGTAGGGATTTAGACCTGATATCGATCGCATATAGTAAAATTACTCTAGCACAATTGTAACTGCAGTTTTACAGAAGTCAGAACTTTAAATGCTTAATGAACACACTTGCAGGTACCACCCGTAATCGTATTCACACTCAGACTTGAGTTTTGTCATTTTCCGATACGAGATTGGGGATGGGTTCTATAAACAAACAAACAACAAACAAACAAATGGTGAAGAGATTAGAGAAATTTAAACATAAATTATAAATGATTTTTAACATTTCCTCGAACAAAACTTTCGACTAGCGGGTTTCTAGTAATATATAATAAAAAGCCAAATATAAAAGCCAAAAATAAGAGCTAAAAATAAAAGCCAAAAAATAAGAACCACAATGAAGAGCCGTAAATGCAGAGTTGGGGTACAAATTGTCAAAAATTACTCACAAAACATATCACTCAAACTGTTATATGCACACCTCATCCCCTAAATAAGGAGTTGAAATATTAATTCTTAGATTAGATAACATCCAAATACGATTGAAAGGTACTTCTCATTATTTAGAACAGTTTCGTACGACGTAATAATTTAACGGGTGATACTGTTCCTGTCTTACTCCTTACAACAAAACAGCTCCAGGAGGCTTCACTTAATAATACCATCTTTAACAAACCCCCACTTCTAACGTTTTTTAGTACATTTTCACAAAATAGATGCTATTACCATCAATCGTCATATTTCGGCCACGCCCCCCGCCAGCCCCTTGGTTTAACTTTGCTGCAACATCTCCTGAAATGGATACGTACCAGCCATGCTGGGCCGCGACCGCCATCATCTTGCCTAATACAGCTCTCATGTGATAACAAACAGCACCCTTGGAATGCCAAACCCCAAACCAGGGCAATCCACGAACATTTATTTCTAGGTTCGAGTCTGGTAAATTTACCTCGTTTTGAACACGGAACGAGTAGAACTGGTAGAGACAATCTCTCATTGGGGCACCAACATCAATGGAAAAATCAAGTAGCTGAAGCCCATTCAAGCTGGTCAATGACAAGCAAGCATATTTGCAGTTGACTGGGTATGGATTTCTCCGGAAGAGAATAGAGGCTTTATCAGTCTGGCTATAGCCTATGTCAATTGCGTAAAGAGGAGTATATCCATTTTGCCCAAAAACTTCCATAATCCGCGAAATACATCTTCGTGCAGCAATAGCTTCACTATTCTTAGAAACCCAAGGGTTTCCATGTACCTTGATCTCATGGCTTCCGTAGTAATCCCGTTTTTCTTGGATAGAAAGACCAGCAGCAGTAATAGCCGTCTCCAAAGGCTCAAGGAGGTGGTCGCAGTTGATCAACCTAAACTTGTCCTTTTCAGACAGGGTCAGCATGCAGAAATCATTTGGATGAGCAGTAAAAGTTGGATCGTATATAAAGAAGAAGGAGTCAGCAACCCCTCTTAAATTAGTTGAAGTGATAAGTCTCCAGTTTAGTCCACTCATCCTACCCACTATATTGCAAATTGCTTTTCGAGTATTTATTCCGTCCTCGTGAGTCGAACCCCAGGAGCCCTTCAAAGTAATCTCATGCAGGGTTTCACCTAAAACCATAGTGTCCCTACTTTTAGACACACCCTTAAGCCAAGAATCGCCGAGAGCTAGCATAACTGCTTGTTTTATATGCTCATCATGCCGCAGAAGGACAAGCTGTTTAAGCTTAGTAGGGTCGGGACCTCCACCTGTAACAGGAGAAATACAGCAAACTCTAAATAGGCCTCTGTTTACATCAGGTATTGCGCCCTTTGCAAAGAACCATGTAGCCATGTTCAATTGTCTTGCTAAATCACTACTTGTAATCAGGATGTAGCCTAAATTGTACATTTCCTCTAGGAGGCGTGTGGTGAAGAACTTTCCGAGGGTGTAACCCCTTTTGCCACCATTCTGAAGTGCAAAAGTAAACTTATCCCCAACATGCATCTTTACAGTACCATAGTAATCTATGAGACGTCCTCGAGTGGATCCATATTTAGCCTCTATTTCCTGATCAAGTATGACAAGCATTTCTCTCACTTCTGGTGTCACATTCATGACCCTTATCTTTGAGTCGTATACTATCGAGATTGCAATATAGGAATCAGGGATTGCTTTCACAGATAATGTGGATTCTGCCATATTGTAACCTAAAAGTAAGAATTTATTTTATTTTTGCACAGTTATGACATATGTTTTTTCATAACTCAAGTCAAACATAAATATACTAGTTGCTTACTTTGAACTTTTCTAAAAGCCTGTAATATTATCTTAGTTGTACCAAAACTAGAAAAACGGAGTACTGTCTTTAACGGAAAGGAGTCGGTAAGATTTACAAATAAAAATGTTGAAGCCATCAACATACAGATTAGACCAAACATCCCCACTAAAATTTCC